GCCCCCCAAGGGGAGTACGGGCGCCAGCCGGGCTGTCGCAAACGGCGGCGATATCGGCCCTTTCGACGTCCTCTTTGAGGGCGGGGCCTGGCGCTTGATCTCCAGCCATCGTCCCTCCCTCGACTTCCTCCTCCTCCCTCCCTCCCCCTCTTCGGCCCCCTCTCCCTCCCCTGGCCTCTTTCATTCCCTCGCTTCCAGGCACGCTGCCCTCGTACAAGCAGCCAAACAAGACAAGGAACGGGCTGAGAGTTCTAGCGCCCGGAAGATGAGGGAAGAGCGGCAGAAATGGAAGCGCCGGACGTCTGGGCTCGAGGAGGAGCTAGCCTTGGCGACTGCGAAGGAGGCAGAGGAGTTGGCGCCCTTGCTCTTGGAGAAGAGCCGGGTATGGGCCGCCATCAATGGACAGGGTGCTTCGGATGCATCCCTGAGTTCCCTCTCCTCCTCGCCTCAGTCATCGTTGCAGGTGAAAATGGCTGCGTTGGACGACGCGCGCGCTCGCATTCGAAAAGTGCAGGACTGTGCTGCCAAGAAGAGGGAGGAGATTCAGCGAAGGATGGACGAAACGAGGAGAAATGGTGAGAGGGCTGTGAGGTCTGCGAGGGACATGGGCGTGACCAAAGCGGCAGTGAGTGAGGGGGTATTGCGCGTGGGCCGGGAGGCCCTCGTGAGGGAGCTGCTCCGTGAGGCAGGCTTGATCGACCCTTAAATAAGATTGCAAATAGGACTGTAAGGTACTGCAGCATTAACTTAGTAAGCGTATATAGTTTTGAAAGTAAAGCATATAGTCTTATTACTGGTCATTAACGCCCTGCCACAAGTTGCCTCCGTGACGTTCTCCTTCGTACGCTCGGGGACATGAGATGGTTTTTGGCCCATTTCACATTGTAGCACGCACACGACGATCAAATAACTTCCTCGCACACGATACAGTTCTGTACACGAGCATCATTCAGTCTCTTTTAAATATTTTGTTTATCTTCCGTCGCGGTGAAGCAACTCTGAATGCGAGATTATTTGTATCACCTCGATAAGACAGGGCACATGACAGAGCCAGCAACTTCTAAATCTCCTCCTGGTAGGGAGAAATACCTCTAAAAATTCCCACGAAGAATTATTTGAATTTTTTTTTTGAATATTAATGCTAGGTCAGGGACGTTTGCAGAATCGGCATTGCAAGCTGCAAAACCTGAAAAGGAAAGAACTGCAGCCGAGATGGACAGTATGGAAGGAAGGATGGCATCACAAAAAGAAAAAGTCTCTCAAAAGGAGCATGTAAACGAATCTCAAAACCTGAAGCAGAAAGTCCAACCTGCGGCTACCAAGGGGAAAGGCGTCGTTACGGGGAAATTAAAGGAAGATGAAAAGCTAAAATGGGCAAGTGATAACGCATCAGGCGAGCCGAAAACCAGGGGAAAAAAGAAGAAAATTCGACAGAATGGAGAGAAGGAGGCACCTTCGAAGGAAAAAGACGAGACAGTGGAAGTTTGGCCTGAAAAGGAAGACATTGTGCAACTTGTGAGTATGGTTGAACAGGCCGGCAGTATCCACGGGATATCTCTGAAGAGGGGTGGAGCTATTGCACGGCTGCAGAGTGCGGCAGATCGAGGTACATCCTGTATAGTCTCAAAGAAAGCGGCTGATCTCCTGAGGGAGGCAAGAACACGGCGCCCAAAGGATATAAAAACTCGTGCAGTCGCCCAAGTGATACGGTTGGAGCACGGCAAAAAGGAAGAATTTGAGGGAGGAAAAATCAGCAGGGATGCCTCCTCAGCGGGTGACAAAAAGAAAGCAACGCTCACATTGGTGCGGGATCTCAACAGGTTGGCCGTGGACGTGCCACTTTCTCCCGTCGTGCAACCACAGTATGCCCAGCAGATGGGAGGCGATATGTGATGTGGTGATAGATGGAGGATGAAGAGAACTTCCAGGGGGAGGGGCAAGGGAATGTATAGCGCTTTTTCCCATAAGTTGCGGGTCGTCGGATGGGAGATGGGTGAGAGGTTGATGAGAAGGGTTAAAAGACGAGGGCAGTAGATGGGCAAAGTGATAGAACGCGTCACAGAACATGTAAAGGCTGAGTAAAATGAAAGTGAAAGCTCAAAAAGAGCGTTTGGATAGAGTGCGGTAAGAGGATGGAATGTGGAGGGTCTTGAAGACGCTGGCAGTAGGCAAAAATTCGTTAATAAACCTAAATTCTTGGACGTGACGCAGGCGTGGCATCGCTCACGCAATCCTTCGTGTCTTTATCTTCTTTGCCCCCCCAATGACGATGATCCCCTTTGCAAAGATCCAGATCGCGTCGCTCCTACCGTCATGCCTGCCTCACTCTCGGCTTTATGCCCTCAAGGGGGCACGACGGCCTTGAGGATGTTGAAAGGCCCGAATCGCTTGATCGTTTGCGTGGTCTCCGCGCCCCCCGACAGCAAGCAACCGAGGAAAGCCATCCCATTGACATCCACGCCGGCATACTTTGCTTGTGAGCGAGGCACAGCCAAGAGCCATTCCTTCGTCATGACGAGATTATGCGCCTTGGTTTCCTCTTCCACGCCCGGGCCTCCCTCTACTTCCTGCCCCATCTCCACCACCCCGATCTCCTCGAGGAGCCGCCGGTAGACGCGTTGGAGCTCGGCCGGGGTGGGTGAGGGAGGGAGGGGTGCGATGCGGTGCCGGAAAGGGAGGGAGAGCACTTGAGAGGTGGAGAGCGCGGAGTGGGGAGGAAGGGATGCAAGGTGGGGCCCGATGAGGACGTCCATAGGGACAGGGAGGGTGGGACGGATGGGAGGGAGGGATGGAAGACTTAGGGCGTCGACAGGAATCGCTTGCAGGTGCCGATGGCCTTGGCTTGCGCCTGCCTCGGGGCCGGAGTTGAAAAAGCCGACGGCGGGGACGTCGCGGAGGAGTTCCCACCAGGCAATCAGGTCGTCCGCGCGCAGGAGCCCTGCTTGCGGGTGCCAGGCCTCCGTGACGAGGAGGAGGTGGTCCGTCATGGTCGGAAACTTGTTCAGCATGAGCACATGCGCGGGCCCCCGCTTGCAGACCGTGAGGAGGCTCTCCCGTTCCCCCTCCCCAAAGGGGTCTGCGCCTCCCGGAGACCGCGCCAGCAGGGCCTTCTTCTCCTCAACAGCCTCCGTTGTGACCTCTGAGACCAAAAAGCCGACGCGGCCCTCCCGTACTACCTCTCTCTGTGTTGGCAAGGGCTGCAAGGCCGGTGCGGAAGCCCCTGTGCTTCCCATTTGATGGTCCTCAGCCCCAAGAGCCCGGGCTCGAGTCTCTTGGATGAGCCGTCGAAGGGGCGATGGCAGGTCTCCTTCCTGGCCCTGCCTCCCCCACAGGCCTGCTCCCTCTGGGGCTATCGACGCTCCACCTCCCGTGAACCCGCCGTTGGCATTGCCGTTTACATTCAGCCAGATTCCGAGACACATCAAGAGGGCCGCCAGACCCAGACCAAGACGACGATGCTCGGCGAAGAGTTCCGAAGCCACATCCAGGCATTGCGTGGTTTTCTGACTTGCCTCCGACCACCAATCAGGACTCGCATGCGGACGATGCAGGTCTTGTGTGGTGCTAGTCTCCATCGGTTGCCATGTCTGGGGAGGGAGAGCGGGAGCTGCGGACGAAGAGACAAGGGAGGTGGGGAATGACGAGGAGGTGGAGGGGCCGCCGCGGGCCGTGCTGAATCTCGAGAACTCACTGTTGTTGTCGTCAGGGTCCGAAAGTTGTGATGATGATGATACGGGTGGGCAGGCTGTGTATATGATCGAAGTGGAACAAGGGGATAAAGGAATGCGAGAGGGGACGTAAAAAGGGTAGCTTTCTAAAAGGTTTGATCTAGCAGTGCTTACCTGAGGCTGATTTACATTCCTCTGCCATCTTATATATTTTTTCGCCTGCGTGCTTGCGCTGGGACATGCGTAAGGGAGAATTGTTGGACGTGAACCTCTTGTTGTCCTATCTGTGGCTCCTGCCTAGTCTGCCATATCGCGTGTCGTCACGCCGCCATCCGAGTCGTTGGTGCCACACGTTGAGGAGATACTGGCTCAGAAAACAAACCCCTTCCGACACGGCACAAAGTACCGAGTCCCATCAAGCCAGGTACAACATGGGCAAGAAGCGGAAATCCATGCCTGTGACCTTCACAGCGCCATCCTTGCAGAAGACGAAGCTCAAAACCTCCCCTGGTGAAGGCACCTCCACCAGCACGATGACGATCAATGCCGCACCCTTAGCCGGTTTATCCCACTCGTCTCCATCCTTCTCCATATTGGAGAGAGCTTTTGAGCAACTGGCCTGCGACCCCTTGGATTTTTTAGTTGGGGAAGGTAAAAGAGCATCCTTTCTGGAAAAGCACTGGGAAAGTGCTCCCTCTGTCTTCCCTTCTACCCCGGAACGCCTTGCCTTCTTCCACCACCTTCTCTCCCTCGAGGATTACCTGAAAACCGCCCGGGAACGCGATGAAAAAGGCGAGGAGAAGGGTCGTCATAGTTTCCGTTTGGGTGTGGACGTGAATGCGGCGCGATACGTGCACGGTCAGCGGGAGACGCACAATGCGACCAATAGGGGGCAGGGCACGGCAAGCACGCTGTCCCGCCTGCACGAGCAAAAGGGATGTACGCTACAGGTCCTCCAGCCTCAGCGATGGGACGACAAATGCTGGCGCTTGGCAGCGGCTCTTGAAGCCCAATTTGGGTGTCTGGTGGGAGTGAACGCCTACCTGACTCCGGGGGGCACCCAGGGCCTTGCGCCCCATTCCGACCCGGTGGAGATCTTCGTGATCCAGACGGAGGGAAAGAAAGCCTGGCGGCTCTATGCCCCCATGGGCAACTTTGCCTTGCCCAATCAAGCCAGCGGGGACTTGAAGCAGGAGGAGATCGGAACGCCCTCTCTGGAGGTGGTGCTGAGCCCGGGAGACGTGTTGTATATGCCCCGAGGCACCGTCCACCAGGCAGT